CATGGAAGTAATGACTCCTTTTATGGTGTACTTGGGGGTGGTTTGAATTATAATTCAAGTATCTTCCTGAATTCGTCGGTTTTTTGATATATGTCAAAGATAATATGGCCATTCTCTATTCCTATTTTAATATCTAAGAAGCCTATCCGACCATTAATATTTTCTTCTAATATGAATTTGATTCTGCTATGATGAGAGTTGAACTTATCGAAAATTTCGATTATTTTATCACGTGGTAATGCTAATAATACATCATCAACATATCTATAGTAGATAGGAATCTCAATATTGATGGTGGATAGAATTTCTATTTCGAAATCTTCCATAACAATATTTGCAAGCATGGTCGAAGCACGACCGCTCATTGAGCGCTCAGTGAGCTCTTGTACCTATTTGGTTTATATATTTAGATCTAATAGAATATGCTAATCAGATAAAAAAGCTCATTGAGCGCTTAGTGAGCGGTCGTACTTCTGGATGCACCTATTAATTGTTATATGATATTGTAGTGATAAATATGTAAATTCAGCCACTTGAGTTACTACAAAAAACTATTCATTCCGAGATCACTAGAGATTCGTCCTGTTCGTTCAGAATGAAAACGTCCAAGTGTGTGACGTCACATTACCTGTGGACACCCTTGTCCGGACGAAAAAATTTTATTCTGACGCATCCGGTAATAATGGGCGCGTTCAGCGGACTCAACAGTTGAGTGAGCGCTCGCTGTTATTGGTGTATTCTTTTAGATCATCCAATCACAATTTTAGATCTGTAAGAATACACCAATAATAGCGAGCGCGCTCACTCAAATATTGAGTCCGCTGAATGCACCCAATGGTGACTCCATGGGAGTACCAAATTTTTGTCTATAAAGTTGACCATCAAAAGTAAAAAAGGTTGTATCCAAAACCATTTTTACTGCGTTTAGGAAATCTTTCTTGGTTATCTTGCAATTAACCGATATGTAATTCCATGTCTTATCAAGAGCCGAAATAACCAACGCAACCGGAATGTTGGTATAAAAAGAGATGACACATCAAGAAAGATTGACTCCGAATTTGTTTTAATCTTATTTTGAACTTACTAACAAGTTCAGAGGCTTTCGGAGTACTATTGATGATGGAGTGTATATCAATTGCACACGAGCTAGTTTGTAGTATTGGCACACAGGCCAATCACAACGCTAGAAAAAAAATTAAAAAAATTCCCTACGCAGAAGTTGCTGTGATAGGCAACGTAAAGATAAGGGGCTACGCAGAATAAAAGGAACAGGGAACAGAGAACAGAAAATAAGAATTTCAACCTATCAGAAATCATATACTGTAGAATAAACAGTGTGTATTCCATAGTACATGATTTCTGATAGGTTGAAATTCTTATTCCCTGTTCTCTGTTCCCTGTTCCTTTTATTCTGCGCAGCCCCTAACATTCCAATTGTCATTAATAAACTTTTTAGTTTAAAAGGTTAAATCCTTTAGGGCGACTGTTACCAACGCCGATTAACTTAATCGACGATTAGTCCATTGGAATTGACCAATCGCATTTATCATTTAGTTTTGACGACAGACGCGATTGGTAAATTCCAATGGACTAATCGTCGATTAAGTTAATCGGTGTTGGTGAAAGAGGCCCTTACAGTCTCATCCGTTACTACTACTACTACTACTGCCATTGTAGACTACGCATAAGGGCTGCCGCACGCACCTTCCGTAATAGGCCTTCTACAATAAGCCATTACCTATGTTTTAAGTAGTAAGTCATAAGAAATTGACCACTCACAGTCGATTATTCTTCTCATGTTCGATTGTGATTGGTAAATTTCTTATGATTTAACAGTTAAAACTTTAGTAATGGCTTATTGTAGAAGGCCCATAACAATAACCATAAGACGTACCGTAAGAATTAGCCAATCATAGTCGAAAATTCTTTTGAACTCTTAATTCTGATTGGTTGATTCTTACGGTATGTATTATAGTTAAGCGGGGAGCACAGACTTTTGCATAACGCATAAAGCATGTGCATAAGGAATTTCATTGGCCCATTTTCTTATGCATGAGTCAATGGATCAATCAAATTCCTTATGCACATGCTTTATGCGTTATGCAAAAGTCTGTGTTTCTCGCCTTAAGTCCATGGCACATAGAAAAAAGTAAGGCCGTAAACGTAATCAGTAAGCGAATTGGCCAATCACAGTAGAGACCATAAGGCCGGTAGCGAATCCAATGTTACGATTTCCTTACTGATTCGTCTTACGGCCTTACGTTTTTCTATGTGTTTCTGGCTTTACTGTTACGGAAGGTGTGTGCGGCAGTCCTAATTCTATAAAGCCGCTTCTACATTAGTTGCAAGCCGATCGCAAGTTTGTTGCGACAGCCAATCTGAAGTATTGATTTCAAAATGCAAGCTTGAGATTGGCTGTCGCAACGAAATTACGATCGGCTTGGAACTAATGTAGAACTGGCTTAATACAACATAGTGAACATAGGCCGGTATTCATAGTCAGTTCTTATATTCAAGACCGTCTTAAGTTCAGTTTTGAAGAGTTACGAACCAATCGGAGGGTCGCTTTAGCACCTTAAAGGTGCTTTTTCATGCGCAGCACGCTGCAGCAGCAATTCGTTACTATTGGTTAAGAATTTTATGTAAGCTAGATGACGCACTTCCGGCGCAAAATACATTTTGCCGCAGTTCGTTGAAGTTGAACCGAACGAACAGCAAGCAGCAAGCGGCAAAATCGAGGCAATATTATTTATTGCAATAAATATTAGGAAAATAAACGAAGAATAGCTTCGGATAAGGTACGAATGTTTGTAAATTAGATCATTTTATACTTTACACTTTACTCTTTAATTTGTGGTAAAGTATAAAATGATCTAATTTACAAACATGTATCCGTACCTTATCCGAAGCTATTTTTCGTTTATTTTCCTAATATTTATTGCAATAAATAATATTTTCATAATGAAACGACGGACATATTGTACGCTTTCTCGATTTTGCCGCTTGCTGCTTGCTGTTCGTTCGGTTCAACTTCAACGAACTGCGGCAAAATGTATTTTGCGCCGGAAGTGCGTCATCTAGCTTACATACAATTCTTAACCAATAGTAACGAATTGCTGCTGCAGCGTGCTGCGTATGAAAAAGTACCTTAAGACATACTTAAGACAGTCTTCAAATAAGAACTGACTATGAATACCGGCCATAGTATAAGAATAGGCCCCCTGGCGTATCAAGTGCACGATGTAAACTAGGCCACTGAGCATACGCACTATCGTAACCAATAAAATTTAAGGTATTACGTTCCGTTTCGCATATGATGCGCAATGCGCATGATGCATCAATTATTCTTGTTTAACATTTGGTAAACAACAAAGATAAACAATGGCTGCGTTCAACAGAGAAAGCAGCTTTGCAACTGTTGCAAAATTCGTTAATATGATTGGTCTTGCTCTTACTTCCTCATTAGATCTAAATGTATAAGCCAATCATATTCAAGAATTTTACAACAGTTGCAAAGCTGCTTTTTCTGCTAACGCAGCCAATGACTATGTTTCCACCGAGAGTAGAGTTGGGTTAGTGTACAAGAACTGACCAACCACAGGCGAGTATTCCCATCTTAGGATGTTAGATTTGCTTACAAAATTTGTAAACAGATCTAACAGAACGATTCTGTGATTGGCGATCCGCTAATCCGCGATACGCTCCATGGGACTGCACCCTGATGGCCTTTAGAAATTTGCACGTAACGTGGTCTTCAGATTTTTCTAAAATTCCATAGAATGTGATGAAAAGATGATCTTTATCTTGCATCATATCCTTCGTAGAATGACTATTATATTATTTCTTGTTTCGATATTATTGTTTTCGAACAGATTAAAAAACTGTTTAATCGCTCTGATTTTAATATTTTTTTTAGATCATTTATAATTCTGTAGAATGTGATGGAAAATAATGAACAAGTATCTTTAATTTGAATCATATCACAGATGCAATTATGCTATTTTTAGAATTTAAACTCTTATTTTTACCATCATTTTCTATAATTTGATAACGTTGCAACTTTTTATGACGGCAATGCATAATTAAAAAATTAAGAATTACTTAAAAAAATAACTTATCATCATCATCTTATAATATAACGTAGAAAATTATTAATATAGTCATTCTACTTTCAAAAAATTATGTTTTTTCAGATTTTAAATTTCTATAGAATGTGATGAGAAAAATAAAAGCAAATATCTTCTTACATCATCTAAGTATTGCTGACATGACTCATTCTAATACCATCATTTTGAAATAAGTATTATATGCTTTCTACAGTAAGCCATTATACCTGAAAAGTCTTAAGAAATTTATTAATCATAGTTGATTATTCTTTTCACATATTTGACTGTAGTTGATTAATTATTTTTTCCTTTTTTCAAGATTTGCTTAGATAACGGTTTATTGTAGAAAACCCATTAGAATCATCATTCTGCTTTTAAAAATGTGCAAATATAATGCTTCTTTAAACAACTATTTAAACTTTAAAGTTCTATAATGTATGAAATGTGATAGAAAAAAATTGAATAAACGTTTTAATTTATATCATAAATTATTTTGCAGATTATATTGTACTATTTCTCGTTTTAATACAGATTTTAAAAAATTACTTTTCATTTTAATATCATTATTTTTAAACGGATTAAGAAAAAATAAATCACCTTCTTCCTAGAAATTTACAAATGAAACCCACTACACAGATCTATGAAATGCGAGAATTTACGGAAAACTATTAAACAAGCATTCTTAACTTATCATACATTTATCGCATCACAAATGAGATTAGATAAAATAAGATAAAATTAATTATATATTTAAAAAATATACATGTGTAATTTCTTTTCGTAATCTTTGTAGTTTTTATGAACTACCACCTCTTTATTACAAATGTCACTCTCTATAAAAATATAGAAAAAAAAAATAACATGTTCTTATTTACAGTTCAAGTCATAGCGGACGTAGTAAAAGTAGCATTTCTCTCATGAATAAAAAAAACGGAAACACAATTTAAAAAATGTCACAATCACACATCGTTCAATATTCAATAATAGAAGGAACTGGAAACGAATCAAAAATTCTCATGAACAATTCATTTGTTCACCCTGTCACCTTTTCCCTCATTCTTAGACGAATCGTCGTGCTGCTTGTGCTTCTTGCGTTTCTTGCTTTTGGAGCTCTTCCTCTTCCTCTTCTTTCCTTTCTTATGTTTTTTTTCCTCCTCGCTAGACGACGACGACGAAGAGGACGACGAGGACGAGGATGACGACTCGGACTCGCTGTCGCTGCTGTCCGAGCTCTCGTGTTTCCTCTTCCGCTTCTTCCTGGCTTTCTTTTGCCGGCGCTTTTTCCTCGCCACCCGTAGCTTTTTCCGCAACTCGCGTTCCCGCAACTCCGTCAACGGAGTGACGTAATTCTCGTCGCTGTCCGAGCTCGTGCTACTCACGTCCAGGACGATCTCCTTGTTGGGATCGATTTTGATGAAGTTGCGACACTGATAGGTTAAGTGCCCGGCGTAACCGCATTTTTTACACGCCGGTCGCACTTGCTCTTTACTCTGCGGGATCAGCCGCGAGAGAACACCAGGATCCATGACTCCAAGAAGAAGACGAGCACAGATGAGTCGAAAGACGAACGATTTCGCGGCGAATCTCAATCAGTCAGTCTTAACCTTAACTTTCTTCGGTCGCGAATCGCCGAGAAAGCGACGCCCATCGCATCGGAGTTGCATCTTATTGCAGCGACGAGGAGTAAATGAAATCCCGATTACTCCGAGTAATGAAAATTTCTGGAGAGGAAATATTTAAATTGCCAAGCATTGCAATGCTAATGCAAACTGCAAGTTGTAACATGATTTCTAGAATGATCTGTGCTTAACAGTCTTTGTTTCCATTTCTACCAATGCATGTAGATTAACTTTAAATTTTTTTCAATTCTTAGAACTAGAAAATGATGAAAAGTTATTGAACCTTAAAATAAAACTACGTTGGCAGAAACGAGTATGTTATAAAAATATATGTACTTTTTGAGATCGTAAAATTTCTGACTATTGATTTAAATTTTTAAGTATTTATATATTAACATTTCAATTAAAATTTTAATATATATAAAATTACATCAGTGAAAATTGTCAATAAAAATTATATTCTAGAAATTTTATTTTCTAAGTATCTTACATTTAACATATAAAAATATAATTTGAAAATTAATAAATTATATTATTTCGTCAGTAAATATTTTTTTTTTTTAAACCTACGTACTCTTTTCTTTTTAGTCGTCCGAAATAAAAATTCACGAATTTCGGAAGAAATAAAAAACGCATGACACGAAATACATGATTATTGATTACAACTGAAAACGGTTGCAAAGAAGGAAAAAACAAGAGAAACAAAACGAGAAACAGGAAGCTATAAAACTTGCAAGAAAGAAAGACATATAAAAAAAATGATTTACAAATTAAGCGAAAACTAATAATTACATCTCATTACACACAGCAGTCGAATTTATATTGAACGAAAAAGGAGAACATCACATTTTGACATCAAAGTGACAATAAATGATATCAGTTCGTTTATTGTCACTTTGATGTCAAATTACAGAGATAAGATAAAAAAGAAGAATTCAAGAAACAGGAAGCGGAGCACACATTCATGAGCATCCTTCGCCTCTGTTAAACAATAATTTGACGATGTTGAATTGAACAACAAGGACGATTCTCGAGCAATCCTTAAGTTATTGTGGAAGACGTGAGTCAGATCGCGGTCTACATTGTTTATAAAAAAAAAAAAAAAAAAAAAGAATACTCGGGACAGAGTCTGAAGAAAACCGATCGACCGACGAACAAGGCGTTCTCACGTTTCGCCACGTGGCGATTTTTACGCGCCAAAAAGTCATCTCGGCACGCCGAGAAAAAGGCCTCGCGACGCTCATCGACGCTCCGAAGAACGTGGTCGATCGCGCCGTTACATACACATACACGTGCGTACATACACGTATACGACGCGGGTCCCACCTCTTTAAAGAGCGCGCGAGCCATCGCGACGGTTCTAGACTCTCTGAGAAAATGCCGTCACTTCCGGCGGACCACGCGGGTCGCGCGAGCGAGGCGGACAAGTCGAGCCCGTGCGGACGCTTTTCCCTCGGAGAATCGCTCGCGTCTCGACGCGTCAATTCCACCGACGATTTTTCCGAGCCACGTGACTCGCGGCGGCGGGCGAGACGCCCGTTCGATCCCGCTCGCGAAACGCGCGCTTGATAGAAGGTTCTAGAAGCTGGGCGAACTTCCGCCATCCGGCCTTCTAGAATATTCGCGCTCGACGCGCTCGTTTAAAGGCGACGCCACGCGCCGCGAACGAGGCATTCGTTACTCGGCTCTCGCGCGAGACGGTTTTGGCTTGTCGTTGGTCGCTGTTGGTTTTATTCTTCGCACCCCCTACCGTGTGCCCTAATTCGGATTGCCGTCTCTAACGATTACGTGCACTCGGCGTTTTGCCCCCGTTTGAATTTAATCTCGTGGAAAAATGCCCGAGGACGTGAGCATGACAGACGCCGGCGAGGTGGAGACCTTCGCCTTCCAGGCCGAAATCGCTCAGTTGATGAGCCTGATCATCAATACCTTCTACTCGAACAAGGAAATTTTCATCCGAGAATTGATCTCCAACTCGTCCGATGTAAGTATCTTAGGTTATCGTTAATTAATCTTTCATTACCTCTTTACTCCTTTCGTCACCTCTCCTATGGCTGCGTTCGGAAGCTTCATCTTTGAGCATCCACGAGCAAAGAATAATTAGTGACTCAGAATTTATTTATATATCTTTAATTCTTTTCATGTGGATATGAAATACTTCGAAATTAGAAAAACGGGAATTGCGACGAATTTCTTTTTCGGAATATATTTTATACACGAAAGTGTACAAATGTACAAAATTAGAGGAAAATTAGAGGCATTGTACGAAACATTTACCTCATTTTATCCTGTTGCTTTTAGCTAAATTTGTTTCACAGTTTGTCTTCTATTTTTTCTTTAATGTGAAAGAAAAAAAAGGGACACGTGTGAAAAAAGTTCAATTGAAAAGAAAAGAAACCTAAGAATACCTGAGTGCATCCAGGTAAAATTTCTTAACACAGTTTATTGGATCAATTGTATCTTATGAGCTAATTCTAAAAGTTAGTGAATTTTTATTAGAATATTTACAATTTTATTAGTCAATACCTAGTAAATTCGCTCATTTTTCTAATTTTTACCTTACTAAAGAATATGTAATTGACCTTCAGAATATTTCAACTTTATAAATTTGTTAAATGTATGAATGCTATTTATGCTTACACATTATTATATTTTATGGAAATATTTTACTATTAAAAAAATTTTTGTATTAATTTTTGTACAAAAAATACATATAATATTATCAATTTTTATTTAATTGTAAATCACCAGAGAGAGGAGGAGAAAACAATAAAAATTGTAATATAATGTTAGGATCAGAAATACTCTATATTTAAAAAATTCATGTGAGTAATGGAGGATTAAGAAAAAAATTTCGGCAATGTTGCCATTGATTTACTGTCGAGTCGATCTCATGCAAGATAACCTCTTAATTTTATGTATATTAAAATATTAATTATTAATTAATAATTTATTAATTAAACTTTCAATACTTTTTGGATTAAAATTTTTTAATATTATTTTTATGTGACACATGTAAAATTTTCTAATTTTTCTTTTTGTTTGCAAATTTCTAAAAATCATAATTAATAATTATGTGAATTTGAAAATAAATGACAAATAATTTAGTCTTGTTAGCATGATATTAAATCTTTTTTATAAATCTGTTTAGGCGTTGGACAAAATTCGATATGAATCCCTCACGGATCCATCCAAGCTGGACACTTGCAAGGAATTGTTTATTAAGATTGTTCCGAACAAGAATGACCGAACCCTGACGATCCTCGATTCGTAAGTATTGACTTTTTGTAGAAATATTATAGTTTGTTTTCAATAAAAATTTTTTGCCGTTCATCTTTTTCCTTTTACATTAGAAAACAAGAAAAAGAATAAACGATACAAGAAGTGCTTTTAACTAATTTCTGTTTCCACTAATGTTAAATTTTTATCTCTGTTCAACTTACTCTTAATCTTTTTTTCTAATTCTTAGGTCTAGTTCCACAACTCACAGTTAACTTTTAACCAAGATTTAACTTATTTCTCATTTTTTAAATTCTTATATAATTGGAAAGTGATGAGGAATTAATTAAATCTCGGTTAAGAGTTAACCGTAAGTTGTGCCTTAGAAGTAGAGAAAGGTGAAGAGCGAGTTAAACCGAGATTAAAGTTAATTTACATTGATGGAAACGGGCATAAAAAGACCAGATCTAATACATACATGCGGTATATATTAATATGTAACAGTTTCCTTTAAATTGAGTTTTCCTTCTTTTATAGTGGTATTGGCATGACCAAAGCCGATCTTGTAAATAACTTGGGTACCATTGCCAAATCTGGTACAAAGGCATTCATGGAAGCTCTGCAAGCTGGTGCTGATATCTCCATGATAGGACAGTTCGGTGTAGGATTCTACTCCGCGTACCTCGTAGCCGATAAAGTCGTTGTGATCTCCAAGCACAATGACGATGAGCAATATTTGTGGGAGTCTTCCGCTGGTGGTTCCTTCACGGTTCGTCCCGACAATGGTGAACCGATCGGACGGGGCACCAAGATCATCCTGCACATTAAGGAAGATCAAACGGAATATTTGGAGGAATCGAAGATTAAAGAAATTGTCAAAAAGCACTCGCAGTTTATCGGCTATCCTATCAAGCTCGTCGTCGAGAAGGAGCGCGACAAGGAACTGAGCGAGGACGAGGAGGAAGAGGAAGAGAAAAAGGAAGAAGAAAAGTCAGAGGATGACAAACCCAAGATCGAGGATGTCGGCGAAGATGAAGAGGAGGATAAGCCAAAGGAAGAGAAGAAAAAGAAGAAGAAGACCATCAAGGAGAAATACACCGAAGATGAGGAGTTGAACAAGACGAAACCAATTTGGACAAGAAATCCGGACGACATCACGCAGGAGGAGTATGGCGAATTCTACAAGAGCTTAACTAATGATTGGGAAGACCACTTAGCTGTAAAACACTTCTCCGTGGAAGGACAACTGGAATTCAGAGCTCTGCTGTTTATCCCGCGTCGTGCGCCCTTCGACCTGTTCGAGAATAAGAAACGGAAGAACAATATCAAATTATACGTACGTCGCGTCTTCATCATGGACAACTGCGAGGATTTGATTCCGGAATATCTGAACTTCATCAAAGGCGTCGTAGACAGCGAGGATCTACCTCTTAACATTTCTCGTGAGATGCTGCAACAGAATAAGATTTTGAAAGTCATTAGGAAGAATCTCGTCAAGAAGTGCTTGGAACTCTTCGAGGAATTGTCGGAAGACAAAGAGAACTACAAGAAGTGCTACGAACAATTCAGCAAGAATCTTAAATTGGGTATCCACGAAGACAGCCAGAACAGAAAGAAACTTTCAGAGTTGCTCCGCTATCACACTTCTGCGTCCGGCGATGAGATGTGTTCACTTAAAGATTACGTTGGTAGAATGAAGGAGAGCCAGAAGCATGTCTACTATATCACTGGCGAGAGCAGGGAGCAGGTAGCTAACAGCTCGTTCGTAGAACGCGTGAAGAAACGTGGCTTTGAGGTCGTGTACATGACCGAGCCCATTGATGAGTACGTCGTCCAACAACTGAAAGAATTCGATGGAAAGCAGCTAGTATCCGTTACAAAGGAGGGCTTGGAACTTCCGGAAGACGAGGACGAGAAGAAGAAGCGTGAAGAGGACAAGGCCAAATTCGAGAGCCTCTGCAAGGTTATGAAGGACATCTTGGACAAGAAGGTGGAGAAAGTTGTAGTATCCAACAGATTGGTCGATTCTCCTTGCTGTATTGTCACATCGCAGTACGGCTGGACGGCGAACATGGAGAGGATCATGAAGGCGCAAGCACTCCGAGACACCTCCACCATGGGATACATGGCCGCAAAGAAGCACCTCGAAATCAATCCCGACCATCCTATCATGGAGAACTTGAGACAAAAGGCTGAGGCGGACAAGCACGACAAGTCCGTCAAAGATCTAGTCATGCTGCTCTTTGAGACTGCACTTTTGTCGTCTGGCTTCGCGCTCGAGGATCCGCAGGTGCACGCTTCCAGAATATATAGAATGATCAAGCTCGGTTTAGGCTTTGACGACGAGGACACATCAAACCCAGAAGACGAGAAGATGGACATGGAAGTGCCCACGTTGGAGGGTGACTCGGAGGAAGCATCGAGAATGGAGGAAGTTGATTAAACTGCGAATTAAATTTACGATAAGACTTGTCGAATATATTAAGTCTCGAATCCAAAGACTCTTAGATCCGTGAAAAGCGAGAGACTGTTTTCTTTTTTTTTTTTTTATTTTAATGTTCAAGCGGCTATTGTAAGTTTTTCTCGTTTCAGTGTCGATAGAATTACGTGTTACGTTCACTGTGCTAATCACTGTATCAACTTTAAGAAGTCCTTGTCCAGCATACGTGGCTCACACAGAATTCTATCAACAGGCAAAGATAGCTTACCGTTTTATTTCATCAAAATGTTCATTCTTTTGCATTTTACATGCCGCGCTTCGTCACTCATCTCGCATTAACATTTTTTTTATACTTTTCGTGTTCCCACTTACATCATTCCATCGGATACCTTAAATTAATTGTAGAATAAAGGTATAAACATGCACAATAAAGTAAAAGAAATCTTATTGATCTTAAAGTGTCTTCATTCCTATGTTCCTATTGTAATCCTCTATCTCAAGAAATTATAATTTACCATTCTGTAATAATCTCGGAAGGAATACTTTAAATAATATTTAATAAAAATAGTTAAATAATTTATAATTATTTCAATTTCTTTAATTCATTTTTGTAAAGTTATTTATCCAAGCTTTTCAAATTAATATTAAGAAGTCTGTAAATGTGCGAGTTTAATTATTTGTCGGCTTTCAACGTTATTTAAATTTACATGTATTAATTCTGAAAGGAGAATACACAAATTTAATAAATTTAGAATCTATATTTTTTCAGCAAAGATATTGATCTGATCGATATACTATTATATACTACAACTATATACTACTTTTGTTAATTAAACCTAAGATAGAATTTGATGATATATAGAAAGAACACTTTAAATAATATTTAATGAAAGCAATTATAAAATTATAATCAGTTTATTTTTTAAAACTAAATTATTTTCGTTAATTAAATTTAATGATATTGTACAAATGATATAGAAGAATATCAAGAACACTTTAAATAATGTTTAATAAAAGCAATTAAATTTTCGATTAACTTTTTTAAAACTATACTTTTTATATTACTGAAATATTTAAAAAACTGCAAATTATTTAAATTTGCATAAGTTGTTCCTGAAGTATTATAAATAAATACGTTAAATTATAAATAATCGTTTTTCTAAAACTATATCTAAGTTTAGTTCATATTGATACTAATAAAAAATCACAAAATATCCGAATATTAATCTAAATTCACATAAGTATGAGATATTCCTCAAATAAACATTAAATTTTAATAAATTCATAGCGATGAATTGGAATTGACCATATTTTCTCAATCTCGCCTTGATTCAAAACTATTCATATTAATTAAATCTAAGTCATGATATTAATTATATTAGCATCCGAATGCCAACAAAAATATATACCTATGATACATTTCACGATTGAGTTCTGACTATGAATACGGGCATTGAATTTTTTTACAACTTTAAGTTGAATGTATAGTTTGCTTACAATTAGAAGAATGCCAACTTCATTCAATGGCTTGTAAATTACAATAAATATATATTGTAAAAACGGAGCAACCTTTCCAATACTATCATCAATGATAGTATTAAAATTTGTAATGCAATATGATTAATGAAATAAAGTAAAATAATTAGAAATGAAAATATAAATGTGTAGAAAAACAAATATATATAATTATAATCATAACAAAATGCCGACAATTTATATTTCTCATCCCTCCTGCATGGGGAACATACAACTACTTAACATAATATTTCTCAGAGAATGAGACTGCTCTTTTTTAAGTGCACCTGTTCTCTTGGAACCGGGGGTCGACGAAAGAAGAAACCGCATGGAAACCGCTCTCTCGTGCGCGCCAATTCGAAGACGGAGCATAGAGCGCGACACTGTATCACACGGCGTGTTGTCGCGTGTTGCCACATCACCATCGTGCCTAAGCGAAATTCGAAGCGTGTCCCTCGTGGTGTGTAGATCGCGCTCGCGCCGATCGCAGGCAAGATCGTTGAGCCGCCTCGTAACAGCCGCGATTATACGTGGAAAGGAAACGCGAGAGAGCCCCGGGCCGCTTGTCTCTGCCCCGCGTTCGTCCGTCAACATGACAACTCGTCATTCCTGAGGGTCTTGCAGTCCTCGCAAGAGAGAGAGAGAGAGAGAGAGAGAGAGACAGTGGGAAGTACTCTCTTTTTTTCTCTCCCAAGACGCACCACGAGGAACGAGACAAATTGCGGAGTCACGAGCACAGCTGCTATCGAAGCTCGGTCTTAGGAAAGCGCACGTGCCGCGAACGCTAGAACAAGCGCATCGTCGTCGATCGATTCCCGTTGCGAGAACTGTCATCATGAGTGCACCACAGGCACCAGTCAAATTACGGAACGGGGTGGTGAAGCAGGTGAGGAACCGCCGGACGCGCTACCCGGCCGCCTTTCTCGTGGCTCTTTCTATCTGTGCCACGCCGACCCAATGTTGACCCCCTATCCGCTTATCCAGTTTGCAGAAACCACACCGTGGAACATATGGTTGCAATCTGGAGCCACGGCAGCCTGCCACGTGATGTTTCCTAAAATCCTTTAGATATGCATTACGTTAATGAGAATATCTTTATTGTCCCCTTTCTTTTTAATTTATTCATTGTTGAGTGACGAGTTTGTATTCACCGAAAGATGTTAGCAATTGCGTAACTAGTACTTGATCTAAAATATGATATGGTGCTGGATATTTTAGGATACTTAAAGTTTCCTCACGCTGCAAAATTTTAATTCCAACTGTAACTTTATATATTTGTTACGTCAATGATATCACTGTTTCCTTAATGTATTTCTTGTTGAAAGTTATGAATCAGAAAGTTCTTTTTAGCAATTGCATAATTGATATTTTAATCCAAAATATAATGTGGTGCTGGATATTTTGGGATACCTTAAGATTTCTCACACTGTAAAATTTTAATTCTAAAGTTAATATCAGATATTCATCATGTTAATGAAAATATTTTCACTTTTCTCTTGCTTTTTAATTTATTTCTTGTCAAGAGCGTTATGATTCAGAGGAAGTTTCTATGAAATATTAGCAATTGCGTAATTAATGTTCTAATTAATCTGAAATACAGTGCTGGATATTTTAGAATTTTAGAATTGCCTTATGCTGCAAAATTTTAATTCTAAAAAAGATTCTTGACAAATATTCTTGACTTTAATGAAAAAGCAATTCTATGAGAGTTAGTAACAGTTTATTAATAAGTATTTTATGTGAAATCTAAGACAATACTCTGAATATTTTGGAATACTTAAGCTTTCTCACACTGCAAAATTTTAATTCTAAAGGTGACATCAGGAGACACCGTTGTTATCCGTGGACAACCTATGGGTGGTCCTCCACCTGAAGTAATAATTACTCTGTGTAACATTACTGCTCCAAAATTGGAACGTTGGAAAGGAAATGACAAGTATGTAAAAATGCTCATTTATACTATACAAAACTATTCCTTGTAAAGAAGGAATTTTCTTATTTTCTACTTTTTTAGGCTAAGCGTAGATTTATATAAGTCTGTTGACAATAATTTAATTATGAAATTAAAAAATAATTTATATATTTGTAGCATGGATGAGACCAAAGATGAACCATACGCTTGGGAAGCAAGAGAGTTCCTACGTCGAAAGTTGATTGGTCAAGATGTCACTTTTGCAACTGAAAAGTCTGTCAATACTGCCAGAACATATGGAACTGTCTGGTTAGGAAAGGGTATTTATTATTTGTGATATATACTATATATACATTTGCTAAAACTTGAAAATTGATTGTGTTCAACAGAAAAAGCAGATTTATAACTATTATAAACTTAAAAACCAAAGATTCTTACAACTGTAGGGCAGCCATGCCAAGAAAAAATGTCGAGCGCTCCACCGGTGTCGGGACTTGAACCGAGGTTTCAAGTCGCGTCCATATTAGCAAGCAATCGTCTTGCCGTGGAGCTACACAATCCGAGCTACAAACTTAGTTTATATTCCATACAACAATGCTTTTTCTGCTAAATGCAACCAACGGCCATGAAATTTTCTTTGTTGGGATTGGATTGTTCCTTTAGATCTAAAAGTGTAATCCAGTCAGTACAAAGAAAACTTTCAACAGTTACAAAGTAAATATTCTGCTGAACACAGTGATAATTAAATTTTTGCATCACAATTGTTATTCTAGACAGGAATGGTGAGAACGTAATTGATACTTTGGTGTCTGAGGGTTTGGTGACTGTTAAGAAGGACAACCGTAATTCTACGGCTGAACAGCAACGGTTAATCGAACTGGAGAATATGGCAAAAATTGCGAAGAAAGGAAAGTGGTCGGATTCGCCGGTTTCCGAACACATACGGGACATCAAGTGGACTGTTGATGATCCTCGGAAATTGGTCGAGAAATTCGGCAAAAAACCAATCAAAGCAGTAATTGAGTTCGTCTTCGACGGCTCTACCGTGAAGGCTTTCCTCTTGCCTGATTTTTACAGCATAATTCTGATGATCTCGGGTGTTCGCTGTCCTGGCTGGCCGAATGGTCGTCGTGAGAATTCTGTGGGCGATCCTTATGCGGACGAAGCTAGATTCTTTGTGGAATCGCGACTCTTACATAGGGACGTCGAAATAGTGCTGGAATCGGTCAACAATAACAACTTCATTGGCAGCGTTATTCATCCTAAGGGTAAATTTGTTAAAATCTGGCATTTTAACATTAGAAATATCAAGAATCATTATTGACTGTTTCTATTTTTTTGATTAATTTAGTATATTGCTTATGTAAAAAATAAGATACTGAAATTGTTTCTATTTTTAATAATAAATGTCCTTTATATTGATGAAATATTTAGTTTTTATATTTTTTATTTATAATTTATTTACTTGATCTCCTTTTAAATAAGTAAGAAGTTGGTACTTCTAGTGTTAAACACATCTAGTAATGAGCAGCATATGCTAAAGTATGTACAATAAGCGTTCGAAATAATTGAATTTAATTATAATCAATGATTTTTTATTTGTATTAGGAAACATTGCTGAAATTTTGCTGAGCGAGGGATTTGCGAAATGTCAGGATTGGTCGATCAGCAACAGTAGATCTGGCGCGGAAAAGCTGTACCTCGCTGAGAAAACCGCGAAGGAGGCACGTTTACGACTATGGAAAGATTACAAACCGTCTGGACCACAGATCGAGTTTACTGGCACCGTTGTAGAAATTGTTAATGCGGATGCGTTAATTGTCCGAACTCAGAACGGGGAAAACAAGAAAGTATTTTTGGGCAGTATTCGACCGCCGACCCGTGAGAAGAAGAACGAGGACAGCAATAATACTACTCGATCGAAAGATTTCAGACCGCTTTATGATATACCGTGGATGTTGGAAGCGCGAGAATTTTTACGCGAAAAATTCATCAGGAAAAACGTAAAAGTAGTAGTCGATTATACGCATTATTATCCGGCTAGGGATAATTTCCCAGAGAAGTTATGTTGCACCGTAACTTGCGGCAAAACGTAAGTGTAAATCTTTGAAATTACTTGCAGTACACCTAAGTTAGTGTACTAAAACTGCTATATAAATATTTTAAATTATTAATATTATTAACTGCTCATATATTTACCTTACTCTTTTAAATTTAATTTTTTACTCATCTTTCCTCTCTTTCCTCTTTAATGTGTTAATAATAATGTAGTGCGAATAATCAAGTTTACCATAAGATTTCGCCTTCTAATATGATTTATAAAAAAAATTATCATTTAATAATTGATAAATTTTATCTTATACATTATCATGTCAACAGGAACATTGCAGAAGCATTGGTCGGCCGAGGTCTTGCGCGAGTGATCAAATATAGGCAAAATGACGATCAGCGTTCCTCTCAGTACAATTTGCTGCAAGTGGCTGAAAGCAAAGCTGAAAAATCACAGCATGGACTGCACGCGAAGAAAGACATTCCAGTTCACAGAATAGTGGATCTCTCGAACGATCCCTCGAAGGCAAAAGCATTCTTGACTTCGCTCAAACGAGCGCAGGGAATCAGAGCGGTCGTCGAGTTTGTGACAAGTGGCTCGCGGCTGAAACTCTATCTTCCCAAAGAAGACTACATTATCGCGTTCGTGCTGGCTGGAATAAGAACTCCGCGTTGTCAGAGAACATTGCCCAGCGGTAGTGTGATCAAAGCCGACGAGTACGGCGAGAAAGCTCTCGCCTTCACTAAGGAGCACTGTTTTCAACGAGATGTGGAGATCAAGATCGAAAACACGGAAACAAAGTTGAGCGGTTTCATTGGTTGGTTAACGGTGAACGATGTCAATATGTCTGTTGCTCTGGTCGAAGAAGGTCTGGCTGAGGTTGTAAATTTCCCGGACTCTGGAGAACTGACCAAAACTCTCAAAGCCGCAGAGGAACGTGCAAAAGCTAAAAAGCTTAATGTAAGTAAATGTGCTTAATTTTTTTAAATATTGAATATGTACTTCATTAAAAAAAAAAAAACTAAAATGTAACTTGTATTATATAGATTTGGAAGAATCGCGTGGAAGCGCCAGTAGAAACCGACAAGATTATGGACGAAAAGGAGGGACAAGAGCGAAAGATCGATTATCAAAAGGTTGTGATTTCCGAAGTTACTGACGATCTTCATTTCTACGCCCAGTTTGTCGATCAAGGTAGCTTGTTAGAAAATATGCTTCTACAATTACGCCAGGAATTAGCCGCTAATCCACCGCTTCCTGGCGCCTATAAACCAACCAGAGGAGATCTAGCGGTTGCGAAATTCAGCGGTGACGATCAGTGGTACCGTGTGAAAACGGAAAAGGTTTCCGGTACTAATGTCAGTGTGTTCTACATTGATTACGGCAACAGGGAGACCCTTAATGTTACGCGAGTTGCCGATCTACCTGCGCGTTTCGCGACTGATAAACCATACGCCCACGAATATGCGCTTGCATGCGTGACTCTTCCGAGCGACGTAAGTAACGAATTCTTATACTATTTATTTTCAGAAAATAAATGTATTAACGAAAAGATGATGTTTTTACAGACGGATGACAAGAGAGCAGCGGTGGATGCATTTAAAGAAGATGTTTTGGACAAAATTCTGCTCCTAAATATCGAATACAAGCTAAGCAGCAATGTAATTGCCGTGACGCTGATGCATCCCAGTACAAACGAAGATATTGGGAAGGGTCTTATTTCTGACGGATTCTTGCATGTTCAAAAGCACCGAGATAGAAGACTTACTAAATTGGTTAGTCAATGTCTGTTGTACTTGTATTCATCTACTGCGATAAAATTTCTATCTTATTGAAATATAAATTCCCGAACCCATTTTTATAATATTGCCACTTCATACTCTTTTACTCGCAACCTTTAATTTTCCAATCAATTAAAAAAAAATTAATGTAGAAGATCGAACCTATTATTTATAGATTATGAATTGACTGCTCTACTGTCATCTCTACTGCGATAAAATTATATAATACTAAAAAAGAAAGAAGACTAAAACGGGCGATCAAAAGATATCAAATAAAAATAAACCTAATTTTTTAATTTTAAAATTTGATAAAATCATTTCTCTTGATTACACATCTATTTTTCTTTCTTTTACTGTGCTGCTTTGTAAAAATAAGCCTTTGTATCTATATTTATTGAAAAATTATTATATTTGTTGTGTGTTAACTATTTGCAGATCGAGGAATACAAGAAAGCCGAAGAGGATGCAAAGCACAATCATCGTAATATTTGGATGTACGGAGATGTAAGGCCAGAAGACGATGACAAAGAATTCGGGTTGTAATTCATAATAAATGCTCAATAATTTGGGATAAGCATTATTAATTATAGGGGAAAAGAAAAGACAAGATCGTTATAAAAAAAAAAAAACAAAATAATAAACAACAGAATGTCTGAAACGAGTCTATGGCTGCATTCGGGCAGCGCGCTATTAGCGCCATTTGTGTGGTACGTCCTTGTCTCACGTCTAATGGACGACAAAGATAAAATGAAACAAATAGCGCTAATAGCGTCTCCCCGAATCTAGCCTATGTATCGTTACATAGACAAAAAAAAATGAATGTCAATATGAGAACTACATGTTGTGTTAGTCTCAATGCAATTAAATATCTCAGTATATAAAAAAATAATTGTACATATATAACTATTTTAATAATTTCTGTAATACATTGAACAAGGTGCGCATGCACTCCTTGAACGAGACTATACAGCCATTGGCTCTACATGTATTCTCATCGACATTTGTTAATTTGGTGCCACAAATACGAACTGTTTGAAGACCTGATATTTTCAATATGATATGAAATTTTCAATGTGCAATTCAACAGATACATCAATCATGTTAGATATATTAATTGCTATGGATAAACAGCAATCATGTTAATTAATGTTGTACTATTCTTTTCAAGTTTTTATATGCAAGGATGATCATGTAGCTATAGAATTTGTAATTGCAGATTTAATCGGACAGTTATAGTTAAACTGAGATAAGGAAGATTCATATCAACAGAATATCAGTATTTTCGATTACAATGACATAATTCGGATAATATATTTTTTGACTTTTTCAAAGTGGCACGTGTGACGTATGCAAATTCAGTATAATATAAAAAATGGGGTATATACAAAAATGTGACCTTAAGAAAAATATTTTGCTCATCACAATATGTACTCCTTCGAATCGAATAAGATTCCCTGTGGTATTTTCATAAAAAAAACAACAGATATTTTAAATAATCAAGTTAATAACAAACATCCTGTATAGTAATAATAATGTGAAGGAAGATACTGTAAAATTATACTGTCTTGCTATCTCTTTTCAGATGAATTCACGTTATTCATGTACGTTATATGCATAAACAAGTTTGATACATTAATGTACTTACAAAAAATTATTTATGCACAGTTGTCTCACAAATCAGTCCTATAAATTGCAGTACAACAAGTATAAAATTTTAAATATTCAAAATATATTTACGATAAACAAATGTTATCTACTGTGTGTTCGGAAGAAGTAAGTCGCAATATTCTGTGGTACAAAGAATACATGTGTTTTCTTATATCTAAATTCTATGCACCATAGAATAAACTTGCATGTTTATTTTATCAGAATTACTACACACACACACACACACACACACACACACATATACATAACACATTATATAGTGCATAATTTTAATTTATATCATCTTTAACTATGCTGAAAATAATTTTCTAACTTTTTTTAGACGCTTTGTGATGAAAAAACTTTTATTTGTGATATTTTGTTCACGTTATCACGTTATCATTGACTTTGTAAATAAAATCCTATTGGATGTTTGATATACCGTACACACTGTAGGATCAGAAAGTAAAAGAAAGACTTGTTCGAATTACGTTAAAAGTATTATGATTCTTTTAAAGATCCATTCAAGAGTATACAATACAACAAATTCTGTTACATTGATATACTCGATTCCTTTACATTACTGTTATACGTAGCGATAATACTTTATAATTGTCGAATATTTTTCTCTTTTCTGCAATAAAATAGAATATGTTGAATAAACCAGGATTGGCAAGTAACGTGTTACTTTTAACGTCATTACCGTTACATTTTCTTCTGAGTAACATTAATGGTAACGCAGTTACATTTTTGGGATAACGGTAACGATTTTACTAGTTACTTTTATCGTTACTTTATTTCTAGCTACGTAAATGCTGAGTCGTAACTAGAGCGTGTATGTGTGTGTATGTGTGTACACACATTTATCAGTTTTATTCCTCTTCTAAAAGATAGAGTTCTGACATTTTTTATATTTACCGCGAAAATCTACATATTCTGTTATAATTACAGAAAAAAAGTAACGAAGAAGCAACAACTAGTTACATTTTGAGTGACGGTAACGGTAACGAATTATTTTTATGAGATAACGTTGCCAATCCTAAAATAAACACAGACAGTATCATAACTATGTTGTAGAAGTGTTTGAAACAATGATCAAGAAGTTTAAATAAATACAAGAGGAATGTTTTCCAATGTGTGAAACTTACTAAAATTCGCACCTTGTTTCACCGCTCGTGAAAATATGTATTGAACATTGAATGCACATTTCTTGTGAATCTTTACCTCCAATTAACACCATTCAGCTCTCCTTGAGTTACGATCAGTATTTTCGTTTGCAAGTTTTTGAGGTGAGAAAAATATTCATTATATTGAGATGTTGTTTCGATCAATAAATCAAATATTTTATAAAGTAAAAAGATCATTTTAATATCAAAAAATTTTAATGTGACACAAATTTTAATTATCATCTTTCGATGGCTACATGTTCAATCAATATATTTAATTATATTTGCGTCCCAAGAATATGTGTATAAATGTCTTTGTATCACACAAGTCGTACAAAATCATAATTACTGTATCGTCTAACTTAAATTGTCATCCTTAGGAAGCTATATATTTAATTTACTATATGTTTGAGCACATTTGCGTCCCAAGAACACGAGTATAAATCATCTTTATACCATGCGAGTCCTCGCACAAAATCGTAATGACTATTATCTTCGTATATCTGTGTCAATTCTCTTTCGGTATCAAATACTTTAACCGATGTGTTATCAAAACAGCATGCTAACTGTTCTTTCCTAGAAAAAATTGATAAATTATCATAAATTTATTATCATCGAAACAATATATTGTATAAGAAATATTCTGTATAAGAGTTATATATATTGTACAGAAAAGTAAATTGATATTTCTGATAAATTCTCACCTCTCTGGAGTTGGATTGAATAGCAGCTTGTGTATACCCCTATCATATTCGACTGACTCGCATAACGGAACTTCTGTTTGCCTAATGTCAATTATTGCAATGCTGCCTTCAACTGTGCCTATTGCTACAATATTTTCCAAAGTAGTATTCCAAGATACTGCTGATAAGGGACAATTATTTTTCTTGAAGATAGCTTTAAAAAATAAAATGAATTATTTTTAACAACGTAATAAATTGAAAAAAATAGAGCTATAAATATACGAACAACTCGCTGGTTTAGCTCGTCTAATATCCCATAGTAATGATTCGGAATCTAAAGAGACAGATGCAAATACAGAACAGCACATAGGCTTCACATCTGTACCAGTAATTATGTCTAGATGCGCAAAGCTATACGAGTAGGTTGCAATTAAATCCTCTATATCCCATATTTTTAAGCTGAAACAAATATGAGATTATAAATTCTCTATAGCTGATATACAGTGGGTCTATTGGACTCACTCAATATCCCTCCAGAGCTGATAATGGGTGTATTGAACTCATTATAATTTGACTGTTTGAATAAAAATTATTCTTATTTGAGTAAAAATAATTTAGTTTCCTCTGTGAAGTATTGTTCAGATAAAAAATATATTTGAATTTATTAGTAATTTTTAATTCTCCTATCTATTATTGTAGCATTGTACTATTTTACACAAAATGGCAAACAATTAAATTTTCTTTATGTTACATCTGCAAGTTGTCACTTCAGTTCTTTGAAATTAATCAATGCTTTAAAAAAATCAAATAGTTGAAACCTATTTATTAGATGTTGATTAAAAGGCATTAATTAATTTTAAGAAATCAAAATGACATAAGAAAAGAATAAAATACTAAGAACAGAATACTAAGTTTATTTTAATAAAAATAATAGTAAGATAGGTTTTGCATTATCCTTGACTTCTCAGACCCAGTAACTGTTTTTAGCATCAGCTCCACAGAGCTAATCTCTTTCTCTAATTTTTTTCTTAGATTGTAATACCATATATTTTGGAAACTTTTTACCAACAATCCATTCCTCCTGTGACAATGTTTCTCTGATTGAAAAACGCAGATACCGACAGAATGCTGCTGTCGTGCTGACATACATATCCGAGAAGATGTAACTCAGACTGCTCGTCCATTTCAACTGTCTGATAAACCCGTACAGCACCGCTATCCTCCACAATAACAAATATGTTCTCGTTCATATAAACGGCATCGCAAACGCCACTGTCTATCCGTTGCTTTATGGTGGCTTTCTCTCGAGAAAAATCCGAGATATCCTTATAGTACCAGAGAGAACCATTCCAGTAAAGGTCGACCATATTAGTGCCTCCGAGAAGAGCATTGTTCTCTATAATAGAAAACTTCAGCTATAATCATTAACTATAAAGGAATTGTACCACTGAAAATGAATTTTTTCCAGACAATATAAACTAACAGTAACATTACATGATTATTATGCTTTCTTACTTAATAATATAAATATGATATAATACACGTTTTATATAACACAGTTATATTATTGAGTAGAAAATTATAACATTATGAATATGTAATGTTAGTGTTTGTGTCCTATGGATTTATAACTGTATAATTTTATAACTTCTTTCTTTCTTTTTTTAATATAATTCTTTTTATAATATAGAATATAATCAAACTCGATTTTGTAGTATAATCCATTCTACAACTTTTTATAATTATAAAATTAAATCATAACTTCATAACTAAATAATTAAACTCCATAACTTTATAACTGTATAATTAAACTCCATAACTTTATAACTGTATAACTGACTCCATTAACTTTATAACTTATATAAACCCCATAACTATGGTTATATTCCAAAATTTACTTCCAGCACTAAAAATATGTAATTTATGTCACATGTATTAATAGATTTTCAGTACTGGCAGTAAATTAATAGATTTTCAGTACTGGCAGTAAACACAACCTATTTAACTAAATACTCCGGATATACTCTTTACCATTGTAAATCGAGAAAAACTGTAGCTGCTTGGTCTCGACGGGCGTTCGGTTTTCTAGAAATGCTAAGTTTCTAAAAAGATCCCCATTAATAATCGCAGCGTTCATCGCGAACCAAACCGTCTATCGAACTGCAAGAATGAGGACGATAAAAGGATCAAATTTTGTGATGATTTTCAAACTGTTGTAAGGTTATATCATAGAGAAACCTAAGAATGGACATCCTGGCCTTTTTCGTGTACCAAAATCTCATAGGGTAATATCCACGTTTTTCTGGTTCTCTTCCATACTATTACGTGAGTTAGACAAGGACGAGCCATTAAAGTTGATTATTCATTTTTGTCTAACTCACGTATTAGTATGGAAGAGAACTACAAAAAAAACGTGAACATTACTCCAAAGGCCAGAATATTCACTCTCAGGCTACTCTCTAGTTATATATAACCTAAGTTCCTGCTGTCGGCATCGGGCTGTGTGGCTCCGTGGCGAGACGCAGCGAGACGGTTGCTTGCTAATAGTTGCTTTTCATTTACACACAAGTGAAATTGAGTCTGAAGTGGTCTGAGATGAGCTGGAGTATGAAATACTCAGATTAATAACGTCACTACTTGCTTACTTTGGTAAAATTAACAACACCGGTTCATAACCTCAATATATATTTTAAAGTGAGTTTGAGGTTCAGTAAGCACATGATATTTTGTACAGTTTGTAGGTGAAAACCTCGGTTAAGGGTCGACAGGAGTGACCCGTGGAGACCAGAAATATTTTTGTTATGCCTTTTTTACAAAAAAAAAAAATAGCTCTGTACGGCCTTCAGGAGCCTTTTCTGATTACGAATATCGTAATTAAAACGTGATCCATCCAGTATTTTAGCCGTAATTTGGGTATAAAAATTCATCTTCGACTAAAGGTCTCCACGGGTCACTCCTGTCGACCCTCAAATCTCACTTGTCAGAATGCAAAAGGAACGCGCGTTCAACTGAGTTATGATGTCACAAGTGAGAATTATCGGAGAATCGGTGTAAAAGGAAAGCAACTAACGGACGACTCGAGGCCTCGGCACCGGTGGAGCGCCTGATATTTTTTCTCGCCCCAGCTGTTACCCTATCAAAAAGCTTCTTTCCGTCCATACGTCGGAGTATTAATTTTCGGAGCAGTTTTCACCGATTGGTCTACTCTACTTCTTCAATCTCTCCTTAAATTTCGAGTTAAATTTATACAACGCCTAGATATTATTTATTTTGCCTTTCAGATAATTTTGTTAAAATTTTCTTGAACAATTCTTCAAGAACAGCCAGTGAGGATAGACACGCGTCCACAGTCACATACAAATGCATACAATACAAAACGCGCGCAACAGTCGGTTTGCGCTGATCTGCGCGTGCTCGTTGCGAGGTTGGAGTACAATGATTGAATCAAAGAATCCTCTTTAGGTTAAATGGTCTGTTTTTTTTTTTCAGCCGAATTTTTTTACACAGTTCATTTTTTCTTATTTTCTTTTTGCCGTGGAGAGAAAGTGAGGAAAGGAATGAACGATGCAAGGAGTTCAATTCTGAAAAGAATTAGAACGGGTCACAGGTAGAAGCGAGATAATGCAAAGCAAGAAGAGGACAATGAGAAGAGATTAACTCGAAAGTGCGGGCGCAAAAAAAGACGATAAGCTTGGACTGAATAAATAAATTATGCAGAGCAAAAAAAAAAGAATTAAAAAAAATTTTAATTTTTAATTTTTTTTTTTAAATTTTTTGTAAAAAAATTACAAGCGTAGAATACGTCAGCAAAAGCCGAAAGAGGTCCGAGATATAATAATTGGTTCGCTTTGGAGCGAGAAAAAGAAAGAGAAAAAAAAGTAAAAGAGAGCGAGATAAATAAATAGAAAAATAAAAGTAGTTAATTTTTAGCAATTGAGCCTTTCTGCATTTAATAATTAAATATATTGTCTTGTTTCAATGAGTAAAAAGATTCATATAATATATCATAATATTTTTAAGAATTTATCATATTCGAAACATGTTAAAATTCCTAAAAAAAATTTTTCAAATTTTCTTAAAAAGATTTTATAACACAAAGAAATGTGGGAAACACCATATTCAGTCAAGGTGTATCTCTATGCTTATAATACTTTTTGCAAATTTATTTATTTTCCAGTTCAAAGCAAACTGTGTGCCGATTATTTAATTATTAGTCTTGAAACACAGTCCTAAACTGAAGCTAGAGTAGTAATATCATATAAATTAAATTGATAAATAATTTAATATTTATTATTATGTTCTAATATATTTAAGATATCCTACTGTCCTCACTATATGTTATATGTTGAAATTGCAGAATAAAAGAATCTTAAAATATTTTACATTATAATTAATTTTATGTAGATAGTTATAAAATACAGTTGAACAATTATTATTATCTATAATATTAAAAAATGTACATTGTAATAAGGCTCAATATGTTTTTAAAACAACTAATATAGAGAAACAGGGCAATGAGCCAATAAATTAAGTTAAAAATATAATATTTACATTTAGAGAGAAATTCTAAAATATTAAAGTTTAATTTTACATAAAATTCTAACATTTGTATAAAGAATTAAAAAAATATATTATTAGAGTTCAAATGATAAACAAAGTATTATCAGAGAGAAATCTGAGTGTGGACATCCTGGTCCATTTTTCGTATACCAAATCTCACAGGAATGTCCACGTTGTGTGGTTCTCTTCCGTATTATTACGTGGGTTAGACAAAGACGAACCATCCGAAATTGATTATTCATCTTTGTCTAACCCACGTAATAGTACGGAAGAGAACCACACTAAACGTAGATATTACCCTATGAGATTCGGTACACGAAAAAGGCCAAGATGTTCAGGGTGCAAACCAATAACGAGCATTCCGTGTTTCTAGAGAATCTCGTGATTGGTTCTAGTGACCCTCTAATAAGAGTCTGGCCACCTTCTCCCCGGTTTGTGATTGGTCCGACATTTATCATCCATTCCCGCAAATTTCTTTAAATTTATAAACTGTAAAAATTAATAAATTCGTAAAAATTAAAGTAGAATCAATTACAATTTTTATTTTTATTATTATTTAACTTATATTAACATTATTAAATATTTTCTATAAAAACTTTTATGTAAAAAAAACGTTGCAATATGTCTTTCATAAAATAAAAACAACAATTAAGTAAGTATTATAAATAGATTGAAAATATAAAAATTAATATATTAAGAATATATAAAATTTATAAAAATATTACAAGATTAAGAAACTTTAATAAAAATTAAATTTAAATACAAATAATACAATTAATGCTTTAAAATTTTGGTCTTAAAAATGATACGATGCATGAGGCGAGACGAAACAGAAACAGAAACTATGAAGTTTGTAGAGCTACAATCAGCTACAACTTACAGCGCCACTAGAATGAGATAGCATGATTTTTTCTCTCTCGCACAATTTCGACGAATAATGGCGGACTTCACGTGTCCAGACTCTTATTAGAGGGTCACTAATTGGTTCTACTCTCGTTCCGCGTTACGCTATTCCGCTGCATGGGTTTGCACCCTCACTCTCAAGTTTCTCTCTAGTATTATTATCTAAATATTATAGAGAAGTTATAAAATAATCGACGCAGCTATAATTAAGTCATATAATCATACAGTTATTATATTTATATTATAGAAATATATATATATATTTTTTTTTTGAAAAAATTCTGAAATTTATGTAAAATTTCTAGAAAATTGTATAAAGAATCTAAAAAGAAAAATTTCTCTCAATTAGAGCTGAAGCAAGTGCAGGAGGTACAGGGCAAGTGCAGCCACGGGGACCGTGCGGCCGAGAGGAGAGAAAAACCGAACGGACCGATTTACCGGCCGTGACGTAACGCGGCCTCTACAGCTCGCGTACACAGTTTGGGCGCATGCGCATCGGTGGCCAGCCGCGAATCGGAATCAGTCCAACGGAATCTCGGTAAAGATACGGCACGGGAAACGGGACAGCTCCGACGTAGTACACGGCCGACGCGGAGGAATCGCGACGAGCCTAGAGCATCAGGCAACTTGTCAATACGCGGGGCCCAACGCGTCGTCGACCACCCGTTGGCGCTTCAGCAGACGGCGGCGGCGGCGGCGGAGCGGAGGAGGAGGAGAGGAAGAAGACGAAGAGACGGAGGTGGTGGCGGCGGAGGAGGAGGAGGTGGTGGAAGACAGCAACAAAGCCGTGACTCGGGAAGTTCGTCTTAGTCCGCCAGTCAGGATGTCGTCGAGGTCCGACAAGCCCGAGCAGGTTTTAATTATCGAGCCGCAGAACGAGCTCCGATTCAGGGGTACGCTGTGTGAACAAAATTTCAATTCAACAGACTCATTCTTCACTCGCACGTCGTGTATCTCTCTCTCTCTCTCTCTCTCTCTCCCTCTCTTTCTTTCATTAGTTTTGCATTCCTTCTTGTCGCTATGTGTTCCTCGTCGCGAACTGAAACGCCAACGAATGCATCGCTCGCGACGACATTCACGCGGACGTTCGCGACGAGAAGCTCAGCACGACGGGGCTAGCTACGTCGTCAAGATGACGTAAGGCCGTCTCGGCTGCTCACGTTCTATCGTCTCTTCGCACGGCACGGCACGGCGATCGCTGAGCTATAGCCACGCTAGCCAGGCTGCCGACGATTGTCGCGTCGTCGTGCCGCATGCATACCGAGGTGCACCGAGGTGCACCGAGGTCGCGGCCGTGGATGCCTCGACGAGCGTGTGCGACGAGCTCGCCGTACGTCCGTACCTAACCCCATCTGTCCCCGTCCGGGTGTCAATCCGCTGTCATCCGCCGTCGTCGCGGCGCCGCGGTCCCGTCCCCGCTCTTCGTCTCGACTCCCTCGCGCCTTGACGGGGCAAATCTCGTCCCCCCCCTCTCCCCCCTGAGACGAGGGAACGAAACGGACGGGGCAGGTGACGACGGACAAGGCCGATGGCTCTCGCGCCCTCTCTGGCCGCTTCCGTAGCTGCTTTTTTTTTTTCTTCCCTCCCCGAGAAACGGAAAAGGGACGATCGGTCGATTTCCCGGTTTTTTCGCGAAACGTGGAGTGCGGCTCTCTGCCCATCGATCGGCATGCCGCCCGTTACTTCTCAATGCCCGTCGAATGCCGGACGATCGCTAATCGCCGATACGAGGAAAAGTCATTTATTGAATGTGTATACCCGCTGCTCCACTTAGTCGCTCCGCTATACGTCAGTAATCCATAAGAGCCTCGTTTATTTATGCCTCGCGATGCCTCGCGGCAGGAGAGGTCGGCGCCGGCGGTAGATCGCCTAGTTTCCGAATAATGCCGCTCGAATTTTTTTTTTTCACCATTTCCACCACGTTCTCTCCCCATCTCTGTCTTTCTCCCTTGGAGTCGAAGGCCCGTATATACGTCGTGAAAACGTCGCGAGAACGTTGAACTCTCTGGTCTCTCCCCTACGTTTCGTCCACCTACGCGCGCACGCGGGCTTCTTTTTCGAATTTTAGAGGAGTATACACCTTCGAGACATTACATTGCAGAACTGATTCTGTAAAAAGGGATAGATGTATCGCTCATTCGTAATATCGTAACTCACACGCCCACGCAGGGTGGAATTCCGTTAACACCTCAGACGCAATATCGGCTGCAATTGTTTACGTTGCTGCGTTCGGTCGGCGCTTCGTCGTCTTGCTCGCCACCGATTGCCGTGAAAACGAGGCTGATTAATTATGCTTAAATCGAGTGGCGTAACACTCTTCGACCGTGACCGGTGTCGTGTGCGTGTCACGCGTATTGTATTTGGCAAGACGACCACTCGAGACGTCCACGGCGTATCGCCGTTTCGACGAGCACAATGTTCTCGTTATCGGGAGCGAGACGTACTCGAAAACAATTCCATAATCCGCCAGCTGATTATTCCATCCACACTCCTCTCTTCTGCCGCATATCTTTTGTACGTGTTTCTTTTTGTATACAGAGTGATTCATTTTGATTTTAACAGAAATATTTCAAAGATATATAAAAAAAAAACACATTTCGAATAAAAATTGTATAAAAAACGTTTCAAATACTTTTTATTTTAGTAAAATTGCTCTCCAAAGTATTATATTTACTTGTCAATATTAAAATGAATCATCCTGTTTATATCGCTCATTTATAATCACAACAATATAATTTAAATTTTTTAACTTAAAAATCATTTTTTAATTGTTTGTAAAAATAAACGGAAACATAAGAAAGAAAAAGAAAAATGCATTTTAAAATTATATGTATACTTTCATTCTTCTATAATCCGTTATTACATCAAAATTATAATTCAAAATTAATATTACAAGATTTTAATGATTTAAAATATTCAAACTTATTTTCTGGAAAAATTTGTTTTTTGAATTGTGTGGCAAATGAGTGATGTATATATGAAAAATTTATATTGCATTTACTTTTTTTTGTATGACTTTGTATAACAATTCAGCGATAATTTAGTTGAAATGTGTAATTATAGAATAGAACAAAATATTTATTCACTTCAGCATTTCTTAAAATGTGTTATTACATAGTAATTAGTAATAACTAACTTTTATATAATCAGTTATTATACGGTAGTAATTAACAATTTTTTGCTTTACATATCGCTTTTCTGAAAGGAATTTGAACGTTATCTAATGAAATGATGACTAATGACTGAATGACTAGCAACTAATGAAAGTGATGGATCTTGATTCGAAGATCCTCTTCTTTAAAGAAACGTAAATATAGGAGTTCTCATTAGTATCATAATAATACATGAGAAAAATTTTATTAACTATGTAGTAGCTGATTGTTATGTTGGTAATTCATAAAAAAGTAGAACGGAAGTCAAATAATTACGTATTCGTTAATATTAATATTTATATAGGTTGCGTACAGTAGAAAAAATAACTTTGCAACTGTGTAAGATTTTTTGGTGTATTTGGTTCTTGCTATTAATTCTCTTCGAATCTAAATGTATTATTCAATCATATTAAAAAATGTTACAGTAAAAAATCTAGCTGTTAATATTGAGGATTTGGTTTAAAGGAAAAATTTTCTGGTTAAATTAATTATAATTCTAATTAAGATAACCAGAATTCTGATATGATCATTTTCATTTTCAATTAAAAAGTTTTATTGTATAGCAGCAAAACTGCTTTTTCTACTGACTGAACACAGCCAATCTTTGTACTTTGTACCTGTATTCTTCTGGAAGTAATCTTCCTTTTTTACTGTGTGTTTGATCATTACGATCTCTACTTTAAATTACAACAGAAAATAAATACCTATTTGACATTGAATTTATGAACAAATTCAGCTATTATATGTAAATGAATATATCATTGTAAATAAATATAAATTAATTTTTTTATTTATCTTGTTACAGGTCCTTTTACAGGAGGCCCAGTCACATCATATATAAAATTAATTAATCCAACGAATAAAAAGGTATATTTTAAAATAAAGACTACTGCCCCAAAGAGATACTGTGTACGTCCAAACTCTGGTGCTCTCAAGCCAAAGGATGTCACTGAAATAGCAGGTTAGTCTATAACATCGAAATCAAAATTATTATTTATTTTCTATACTTAAAGTTTCATAATTTTTTCATGTACTTCTTAGATGATATTTTTTAAATTTAGAAAAGCCAGAGAAGGTTTTTTTATGATTGAATATTGTGTTTTATTACAGTATGCTTACAACCATATGATTTCGATCCGTCGGAGAAAAATAAACACAAATTTATGGTGCAAACTGTGGTAGCACCAGATGATGATGACGATGAATATCCAATTGATGTGGTAAGAGAATATGACTTTATATTAAATATTGATAATTGATAATTAATATGATAATATTAATTAATATTAATAATGAGATTCACAGTGTAGTAAGAGCGTAATACTATGTTGAAACTAATAATATGTAAAGTAGATGTCACTAAAAACAAAAAGTAAACATATTTCTTATTATTTTAATAATTCTCTTTAATTTTAAAATTAAATAATGATTTATAATAATTATATATATCTCTTTTTGTTTTTTTAGTGGAAGGATATAAATCCAGATCAGTTAATGGACTCTAAATTGAAATGCGTCTTTGAGAATCCCGTAATTAGCACCACTAGTAGCACGGTTAAAATGACTGCAACTTCCACAACAACTAAGGCAGACTCTAATGCGACTAACGGAAAGAATAAAACAGTTGGCGATTCGGTCAAATCGTCGCCTAAGGTAAAATATTAAGTGTATTGTTGTACATTGACAACAATAATCATTTGTTATGGTTTCAAACAATATAATTCTCTCGTCAGGTTCTTGGTGAAGCAGAAGAGAAACTTATAAAAGCTGCGCAAGAGGTTAATCAGCTTAGGGTAGAGGAAAGCACGCTTAGGCAGGAAAATCTTCAACTTAGGGCAAGTATTAAGGAAAAATCAATTGTTACCTAGATCCAAATAACAAGAATAGTAAGGATAATGAGAGCTATTTCGCTGTTATTAGTGCGATCATATATAAGATATGTTAAAGTATGAATATTATATACTACGTACGTAGTTCCCGGGACGAAACGCCAACTCGTAATATTCTTCACAATTCTTATTTTTCTTAGATTTAAATTTATTTCTTCTTTAATATTATAATTTAAGAATTTAATATGTCTTTCAACATATTATTAAGATCCAATTTTAGATGCTATATAGCATTAAAAATTGTGATATTACTACGGTAGTTGAATAGATTTGCGTTTTAAGTTCGACGGATGTTCGGCGCGCAATGGGGGGGGAACTACGTACGTAGTATATAATATTCACACTTTAACATATCTTATATATGATCGCACTAATAACAGCGAAATAGCTCTCATTAGCCTTACTATTCTTGTTATTTGAAACTTTCGAGAGTCTTCTTTAATTTGTTACCTAGATGTAATTTTTTACAACTCGTCGATTTGTATAAATCAAACTTGTTGCATTTCGAATTTGTATTAGCTGAATATTTGCTTTACACGTTTTTAAGATATTAAATTATCCATAAAATATTAAATTAATAATCCCGCAGTATTTCTACATATTCTACGAATGACTTAATAAATTCTTAACATCAATTTCAATTTAAAAAGATGTTGCAGATTAAAAAATCGTGAACAATCTGATATATAGTATGTATTTTTCTGCAGGAAGATTTAATGAAGTGGCGAAATGTGGCGCTGGGCAACGATGGTAATCTAGCAGCCGCCAGAGGACTAACCTCGCAGAGCAATAGCCAGTTATCTCCGACATCAACTAGTATTCTCATCGCCGTCGCCATGGTTATAGTCGGTTACTTGCTGGGAAAACTAATCTGAACAGCCTTTATCTTATCGTATACCTCAGTGTATCCCCACCGCCCCCAAATTTTTTTAGCCTGTCTTCTGCCGTCATGTGCCATCATTCGATCGCAGGCACAGACTTCAAACGTTGCGTTACTCGAATGTTCATAATAAATGCTGTAAACACGGACGGTAGTGGTCTATATTAATAGGATTGCTCGTTACGGGTGTGTGCTTAACCTGATAAAATGCTTGGTTTAAAATTTATTCTATATTTTATTTATTTTTTTTTGTTTCTTTTTTTAAACCATGGTTAGAAGACGCTAAGTAATGCTCGGTTCATGTTTATTATGTGGTTACATTCTTATTTTTATGCTTGTAAAGGGATTTTCGCTCTGTAACTTGCTCCCTGCCTTGAAATAACGTTGAGCAAAATGTGTACCCGCGAATAACGAATAATGGTTTCGTATTTATAAATACATATTCAAAATATTATTCGTCAGTCGCATCACTCAACGCCTTTGAAATCTTATTCGCTATTGGGAATATAAGTTACCACAATTACTAATTGTTATCGCACTCTTTCTCGAATTTGTACACCACTTATTCGCAATAGGCCGAACCGTACTGGTGCAAAAGATCACACACGAACGAGTGAGGGTGCTATTACTGTCATATATAGCATCTTTCTCTACGTAATATAACTTTTACGTCACATAATCATGTTGTACAATCGGAAGAGCAGAAATAGTCCAGTTGCTGGTGTACTGCATGAGAACGGTTGTTGCCCAAGTTCGCTCGATTTGCACTGCTTCGGTGCATCCGCGCTAGGCGCCGTTCTCATTCCCTGTTGTACATATTGTGTCCATTTGAAAATATATATAATACACATAGTCGGGGGGTCGGAGGGGGAAAGAGGAAGGTAGAGGCGGAGCTGGCTGACGAGTAGTGGTTTATGACCCAATAATTGGTTGTGTTGGCAGTTGTATTCCGCCAGCGTTGGTATTTTAAATGAGAAAGATAAAAAGAGAGAAAGAGAGAGAGAGAGAAAGGGACGTTATAAAATGCATTGAACTTACTTGACGCTTCAGTGTACTTTTTATTTCTTTATGTTTGTCTTACGAAAATAACGAATAAAGATATGTCTCGGATATCACAAACGCTGAAGGGTTTTGAATTATGTACCTCTCTACTCGAATGTCATCTAGATAAGCGTTGGTACGCGATAGTTATGCATGGACATATATTATTTGTCGAGGAGTCCGAAGCGAACGCGAGTCGCTCAATCTAAGATTTCAACGAGCTGACAGGTTGTCATATTAAATACTATTGTTGAGCACACATAATACTTATCTCACACAGACATAGAGATATTTATATAACTGTGCCTTAGGACTAGAAGGCAATACAGTATTAACACGATTTGAACTTTACTGGCTTCCTCCGTCGCTCCGAGTTTTTTTTTTTTTTACATCACCACACTTGGTCCTCGCAAATCTTTTTAGCGAGCTACGAATTTTTCGTGTCTCGCGGCTCTGTAATATATGGACATAAAGAACATAAAGATTACGTTTCACCATTAAATTAGACACGTATACTGTATAAATGCGTTTTTCGTCGTGCTTGACGATGCGTGTATTTCATATATCGGTGTGAAATTTTCATCGCTGTACGAGTTTCTGATTCGGAGATGGTTTATTCGGACTTCTCTTCAATATAGCGTTATTTTTCCAAGACATTCCTATAAGTTTGATTTCGGCGAGAAGAACTCAGCGGCTCTTACAGCGAGAGAACGATTTTAGATCTCGAATCGTGTAAAATTGAGAGCTCTACCTCTCCTTACATATATATTTTACATGTATATTCCGTGTATTAATTATGAAGTTTGTTAATTCGAACCTGATCTATGTCGCGTCTTTGTAAAACAGAATATATGTGAATACATATATATATAATATATGAATATATATATATATGTGTATGTTATGTATATTCGTGCCTAAGAGAGGGCAAATGCACGTTTCTTATCTCGTGCGTTTTAACTGCACCAGAGGTACTCTCCATTATTCCGTAGAAAAAAAGAAAACGATGCAATTAGTATGCACAACGCATAAACATCCTTAGATACTACTACGTTAGTGAGATTTTATTACAGATATACCAAGAATTTGTTGTATATGATCTATATACGATTGTTATACGTATAATTATATATATCATTACCAAGTTTTTGCGGTTTTGCTTCATGCGTGACCACGTCGTCACGTGCGATTAATCTATTAACAGCGATTTCGTTAACACTCGTGTTTGAATAAAAGTATTCTATTAAAGAATGTACTATACAAGACTTTTCTAATGTATTCGATACCACAGCAAGAAATTATAAGTTTTCGCATAATTCTGTCGATTGACGTGTCGAGATTGATGACTCTTCAAGGCTTAAATCTAGATTCCTAAATTATCATCAATATTTTTTATTTCATATTTCTTTTATTTATCAAGAACTTAAATTTAAAAAATAGTCCACTCTTACAAAAATTTAATTAAAAATTACTTATTTTAGTTATTCAAAACATTGAACAGCTTATATACTCAATATGTATAATTAATCACTATCTTCCAGTATTAAATTTCTCTAAAGACAACAAATCATGCTTTACAGTAAGTTCCTTCAAGAATGAGAACGCATGTATGACGCACGTTTGTGGCGCGGCAGAGAACGTCCTTGTTTCGATAATATTCCGTAAAGATACATTCACGAATAGAAGTAAAAGTCATCTTTACGCGAAGAACGGCTTTGCTGAAGTAGATATAAAAATTTAGCTAGCTATTAATTTATTGAATTATCAAAACAATTATGTAGGAAGTTGATTGCTAGAATATTGCTAAATTTTTTGCAGTGTGTTCCTAATCATGTTTGAGTTTACTATATAATTCTTAAATGATCCAAATTATTTTCAGATCTGTAACTAAATGTTTAAGCGGATGTATATCAATTGCCTACATCGCTAATCGGCTAATTTAAAATAATATAATCTCATTAATAAAGCAGTTAAAAATTACTAGGAATCGGCCGATGGTGTGTGCAAATGCATCGCTCCCTGTTTAAACGTTCCATTGTGTAGTTTCACTCCACTTCCTGATTCATAGGTTGTTATTCGTACGATTCTTATATTTGAGAATATTTTAACTACAGTCTTATGATGTCATAAGCCAATCAAGAAGGCTACATTAGCATCTTAAGATATTATTTAAGATATCTTTAAATAAGTGTAAATACTGCCCATAGTTTGAATCTTTCAAGTACTTGATTAAAGTCAGATCAGAGATACTAGATTAATCAGATCAGAAATATTGAGATTCCTGGCAACATTAAATTTTAAATTAATATTGAAGTTTTAATAGCGTTAACAGTTTTAACATTAATTATTTCTTCGGGCGGGGATTAAACGAGCTGAGATGAACAGAGAAAAAACTGTTTTGTAGACAATAAGATAAAATGTCGGGAGATCGTGACTTCGGGCAAGCATCCTCGTGACGCCAGACAGTTTCCAAAAGGGGTAGCATCCCTGGAAAGGGAGCGTGTAGGTAGAATCAAAGTGGAGTAGGTCAACTCATAACCAGACCGCAATCCACGTACGTCTCCCTACGCGTCTATATTTTCGGTCATATCGGAAGGTCGCGTCCACCCATTGCGGTAAGAACGTCAAAGTAAGACCTATAAATGCTGGAGAGAGACGCGTGGGGGGGGGGGGGGGGGGGGGGGGGGGGTGAGTTTGACTTTCTTTCATATCCATTTTCTCGGTACTTGCGTCATCGGTTTAAGATCAAATCTTTTTCGCTTTGCATATAAAAAACTTCATTCTCATCTTTGTTATATCGCGTTAAGTCGTAGCTGTTGCCCGGGTTTTATCATAGATTTTTGACAATAGCGTGCTCCGAGATACGCCCCGTTTAAATATAATGGGACATAGAGGGATAGGACAAAGTGAAGGTTCAGATAAAGATCGCCATGACAACTCGTGATTCAGTGCTATGACCGTGAGATTTTGGCTTTTATACCACATTCTTAGATGTCAAAGGACCAACGACAATCCAATATCTTGAGTTAAATAAAATTTTGTTATTTTTTACTTCTATGTGTGCCAAAATGTAAATTGATTCATTTCTGTAATTATTTTTAAAGTAAACAACAATCACACATTAACGTAGTGTACTTAGTAAACAATATACTACAAATGATGAGTCAAATTTAATATTCATTTCTTAAGTTAAACTGTTTAATGTCATTGTTTTTTTTTTTTTATGAATTTAACGGTGCATATATATACAAGAAAAGAGATCAGATTTTTTACTCACGGGAGGAAAGAATTTAATGAAGGATCTAACAATTCAGCTAGGCATACACAAATGAAAACAATTTTGTTGAACCATTAAATTAATTACGTAAGAATCTCAAGCACACAATGATCGATGTTGCGAAAAGTTTTGAGCGTCCTACACATTTATTTTGATATGTCGAATAAAATTATCTTTAAATCTGTACTAGCTAAAAAGTTTCAAATATTTTTAGATACTTCAGCAAAACCGCCTTTTCTGTACATTAACGTTTCTTGGATATGATAAAGTTAATGTCGTGCAGCGAGAACCAGGAGAAACCTTTTCAGTTGAGCTTCACTGATTTTTGGTAGCATTATGGGGAAACCTTTCGATCGTAATCGTAGCGAAATTTCTGCAAAAGCACCCTTATAAGAGTAATCCTACATAAAGGACTCGTGGCAACAACTGTGTTATTGTTCGCATTCCACGTATATTATATTTGGAGCGTTCACCGTACAAATCGAAGGGCACACGGTGTCTCCCTTTGATGCCTCAAATACCGACTCCCTAATCTTCTTCTTCTTCCTTTTATTGCGGCACTCGATCCCCAAAACGGGTTCGATTCGGCCAGACAGACTCCCTAATAACGATAACGAAGAGAGAATTGGCGGTCATCGGAATTCCATGCATCGCGACGCGTTTCCACGACACCCCGTGGACCCCCTCCTACCCCCCCTTCCGTGATCGGGTCACTCGGTGACCGATGACGCTCGGCACCGAGAGACGTTCGGCTGCGAACTAAAGTCGGGCACGACGCGAGACGCGACTTCCTCGGTCACGCCGTGCGGATAAATCGGGATACGGGAAGAGGGAGGAGGCGGCGACGGCGACGATGACGGTGGCGGTGCTGGTGGTGGTGGTGGTGGCGGCGGCGGTGGCGGCGGCGGTGGCGGCGGCGAAGCGACGGATACAGCGCAGAGCAGCCTGATCAGGGTGGCGGCGGCAGTAGCGGCTGGCTATTGATTTCAAGGGCTTCCTTAGTCCCCCACCTTGCCGCTGAGTGCCCGACGGCTCCAGGTCGCCCGAAAAGGTTTGCGGTGCCCGCGACTAAAACTATCCTCTCCTTTCGTCACGCGAAACAGTTTAGGGATAAGTTCTCCGAATGCGGGGGGAAATCATCGATTGAGAACACCAAAAGGTGCGAACGTGCGGAAATTCGCCGAGATCATTCGTTCGATCCAACGCGAAATTAATATCTAATCTTCAGTCGCGGATTTGGGATTTCGCGACGCGGAGGAAGAGAGAAAGAAAGAAAGGGGAGAACCAGCTGGAGAAAAAGATCGATCGACGGACCGGTGTGGGAACGATGTCGAAGGAACGTTCTTTCGGGAATCGTCGAATATAGAACGGTATCACGCGGGTGCGGCATACTCGAGGAAGGGTTAAGAGATAAGGTCGCGAGGGGGGGGAAAGGGGTGCGCGCGCCCAACCACCCCCGAGCGGGCATCGCGGGTGATTCGGCCTCGCGTTACGGCACTGCGCGAGTCGGGCCGAGCAGAGACGCGGATCGCGGGGTGAACCGTCGCTCGCCATACGTCGAACTGGGTGCCCCGCGTTGGGGCGTCTCCTGGCATCAGCGGGCATCGGTGTCGTGCAGTCGATCGGGGGACGAGCACCGTCTTCTCGGGTCCTCGTGCGTGTAATCGCCGCGAGGGAGAAAGAGAGAGTGAGAGAGAGAGAGAAAGAGAGAGAGAAAGGGAGAGGGAGAGTGAACGAGAGGAGCGAGGGAGAGAAAGAGGGAGGAAGGGAGAGAGCGACGAAAGAGTGCGTGCGTCCTGTGCGTTCGTTCGACCCTTTTTTCCTTTTTTTTTTTCCTTTCGCGCCCACCCCCGTCGCACGCACGCACGCACGCACGCACGGTGGGTGCGATCGAGCGCGCGAGTATCAGCAATATCAGTCAGCAACACGCGAAAAACGGGGCGCACGCCGAGGGGCGCGACGACGATGACACTGCGACGATGTTACTCGGGGTGGTAGCGCGACCACGGTGGTGTCATAGCGTGGTGGTCGTCGTTGCACAGAACAGCAGCAGGAGCAGCAGTGGTGTAGACGTCGGCGTCGTCGTCGTCGTCGTCGTCGTCGTCATCGGCGGCGGGTGTGCACGCGATCGCACGGGCGAGGAGGAGATGGTGCCCTCCCCGGATTGTACGGAGGTGGGAAGTGACTACTTTTCGTCATCATTATCATCATCCGCGTTACCGTCATCGTCATCACTATCGTCGTCGTCGTCGTCGTCGTCGCCGCCGCCGTCGCCGTCATCGCCTGCAGTTCACGCTAACAACGTCGTTCTTGGTGCGGTCGCCGTCGCCGTCACCGTCGTCTCGTTGTCCTTGTACGGCCTGGTCGCGTTCTTCGTGTACAGCGTCGTCGACAGCGCCGTAACTGCCACCGCCGCCACCGCCGCTGCCATCGCCGCTGTCGCCGCCGTCGTCATCGCGACTGCCGCCACTATGAGTTCCGACACTGCCACTACTGCCGTTTCCGACGCAAGCACGTTCGTCGTCCGTGCTGCCAACGAGGCTTCCACCGCGACGGTCTAACCCCGTGAGGGTGAGTGCGATTATCCCTCTCATCATCATCATCATCATCTGTCTCTCTTCGCGTGTCTCCTGCTTTTCTCGTCCCTATCTGTGATACAAAATCCCTCACCGAGAGTTCTACATCGGATAACGCGAATGCATTTGGTCCTCTCGTTCTCGATGATGATCGAAAACGGGGTACGAGATCGGGAGACGAGGGAGTCAGGAAAAGAGACAACGTATATACTTAGTGAATAGTGTGTAGAGCGAAGAAAAAGAGGAAAGGAAGAGAAGAGAACGCGAGCGAAGAGGGTAGGGAGAGCGCGTGTGGATTGATGAATTTCTTCGCTCGCTCGTTTCATCTTTCTTCCTTTTTTTTTTTTTTATTTTTTCATTTTCTCGCCCCCAGCTCGCTCGCTCACGTCACGCTCGTCGTGC